ATGAGGCTGCAAGAGAAAATGAACAGGCTAAAGCTTCCACAAAAGTGCCGGACCGCACGATACAACAATCAGTCGAGGCTCCTCTTGAGAGCCAGAGGAATAAGAAAACGACAGCGGCGATGTGGACAGAGAAATATCGCGCGCGCAAGTTCACTGAACTCATTGGAGACGAGCGAATCCATCGATCGGTTTTGCGATGGTTGAAGGGCTGGGAGCCGATTGTCTTCCCAAATCTCGCCAAGTCGAGAACCAAAAAGCCGGGCAACAACAACGATGATGGCGAACGGCTGCACCGTAAGGTTCTACTGTTGTGCGGTCCTCCAGGGCTCGGAAAAACCACATTGGCACATGTGTGCGCCAAACAAGCAGGATACGAGGTACTAGAGATCAATGCCAGTGATGACCGCAGCAAAGATGTCGTCAAGGGGCGGATTCGAGATGCTCTTGGCACTGAGAACGTGAAAGGGGTGAACGTGGAGGTGGGAGATCGCAAAGTGCGAAAGGCTGGGCGACCAGTGTGCGTCGTCGTTGACGAAGTCGATGGAGTTGTTAGCGGGTCTGGGAGCGGTGGAGAAGGAGGCTTCATGAAGGCCCTAATTGACCTCGTTTTACTCGATCAGAAGAATATGGCACGTTCAGCCGATCAGAATGCAAAGAACGGGAAAAGACGTAAAGGCGACACTTTCCGGTTTCTGCGCCCACTGATCTTGGTTTGCAACGATGTGTATCACCCTAGCTTACGGCCCCTGAGAGCTTCCTCTGTTGCCGAGATCATTCATGTCCGCCAAGCACCTTTTGAAAATGTCGTCTCACGCTTGAAGAACATCTTAGCTCTGGAGGGTATTCCATCAGACAACGACGGTGTGCGGCGGCTATGCGAGGCATCATGGGGTTTGGCGAGGAAGAAAAGTGGTGGCCTCAAAAGTAGTGGGACGGCTGAAGGTGATATCCGAAGTGTGCTTGTGGCTGCGGAATGGGTGGCCCATAAGCTGAGAAACGAAAATCTGTCGTCTCTCAGACTGACAAGGAGCTGGCTCGAACAACGAGTTCTCAGTGGCACGGCCGAAGCCTCATTCTTTAAAGGGCTAAATCGCGGAGGTGTACGAGACATTGTGGATCGTGTCTTTTTGGAAGGTGGAGGTTTCCCTGACGCTCCCATTAATGCTGAATCATTCCATGACCCGTTCGCCATTTCTAGCGGGAACGTACCTCTCGGCGTTGCGGACCTCAGAAAACGGCATGCCATCAATAAGCTGCGCGAAATGGTCGATGCTAGTGGCGATCATGACCGCTGTGTATCTGAATGTTTCGCTACATATCCCCTTCAATCATATCAGGACGACACATTTCTTTCCAAGCCTAACGCCGCATATGACTGGCTCCACTTCCATGATACCATCTCCTCGAAAGTCTTTACTTCCCAAGATTGGGAACTCACACCCTATCTGAGTCAGTCAGTTATAGCGTTCCACCACCTATTTTCATCCGTCGGAGGCAAGAGGATATTTAAGAATCCCGATGAGGATGAAGAGGATGAGCACCCATTTTCGGGTCCAAGAGCAGATTTTGCGGCCTTCGAAGCTCAAAAGCAGAGCCGCGCGATCCTTACGGGGTTCCAATCTTCTTTCTCGGCACCTCTATTACGATTATTCCGCTCAACGGATTGCTTGACCACGGAACTTATCCCAAATCTCATACGCATGCTGTCGCCTGATGTGAAACCAGTTGTGGTGCGTGGAAGCGGGGACCAGAAGAGTGTGGCCAGTGTTCGCAAAGAAAGCGAACGGGCACTTGTTCAGGCCGCGGTTCGAGTCATGGCAGGCTTAGGGGTGGTATTTGAAAAAGTCCGAATTGAGGGTGAAGGTGGTGGGCATGGGGGTTGGGCTTATCGTATGGAACCGTAAGTACTTCCTGTTGCCTATGTGTTTCTGCTGTGCGGCCAAACTGAACAAGTTTTTTCACAGGCCATTGGATTCGCTTGTGACATTCCACAAGACCAAAGGCACCTCGGCAGATACAGGCGGCTCTGCTCCTGTTCGATATGCCGTTCGTCAAGTGTTAGACCAGGAATACCGCAAGGAGACCATGCGGAAACAATCCGAAGCCCTGAGTTCCTCCAAGGCCGGGAAGACCTCGAACGGCAAGAGTGGGAAGGATGATGATGACCAATCAGCGAAGAAAACTGCAATGAGAAACGCTCCAGGCATCAAGCGTGACTTCTTCGGGAGAATCCTCAAGGAGCCGGAACCGCTGCCGCAAAGCTCGGATGATAGTCCAGTGCAGAATGAAGCATCCAAAGCAGGAAGGAAAGTCTGGATCACGTACCACGATGGGTTTTCAAATGCTGTGCGCAAACCAATTTCCATGAACGAGCTGATGGCCGGACTGTAGCGAGAGTTCCGGTCTGTGTATATACTAGCCTTCTTATGATTATGCATATTACTTAGCGTTCCATGTCTAAGGAAACGAACTTTATCGAAGAGGACAGAGAAAGCACTAGTCGTTGTTTCAAGATGCAATCGCTCTAGATATTATATATTTCAGGCAAGCATTAATGTATTAGGGCAATGATTAAGTATAGTAGGCAAACTTGACAGCAACATGCAAATCGAACAGAATGAAATAACGAAGCCGCATACGAAAGTCCTCAAACAAGGTATCGATCATTGATTTAATGGTTTTTTTTCTTGGAAACCCTGACGCCAATTCGCCTCAAATCACAAATTCTATAAGCCCCCAGGAAAAAAGATAAAAAAAGGCGCAGCATATTTGTCGTGTCTGGTCGTCGTGTCAAATGCAATGAGAGGGTATCATTTCGGAAGCCCCATCCAGTCATCAGGATGGACGGCGCAGAAGCGAGTTCCGAGCAGTGAAATCACCGTAGAGCTAGGTAGCTGGCGACGGCGGCGTTGTGATCAGCAGCAACGGAGCATGGCGAAGGGCTGGCGTTGGTGTAGGCCTTGTGCTTCGTCGCGAGCCACTTCTTGTGCATGTTTTGAACGCCCTTTAGGGTTGATGCTTTGGAGGCGGCGGAGCGTGTAGAAGCGGCGTCGCTGGAGGAGGACTTGGAGGACATGGAGGTTCTGAAAGGCATTTTGGCTTAGAGAGTTGATTTGTGGTTTGGAGATGTCTTTGATGTGATTTTGATTTGGTCTTCAGCGAGGCTTTCAGAGACTGGTGTTCGAAAGATGTTTTGTTTGGTATGTGGTGGTCTTTATAGTTCTGGTATGTTGTTGTGATGGTGTTGTGAGGATTGTTTGTTTGTGATCTCCGTCAAGGAACTGATTGTATTCAAGTGAGCTTGGTCTGGATGAGTGATGAATTCCAGACTGAAGGGCGATACTCGACATTCCTTATATACTTGCTGGACGGCGTGAAGATGTATACCAACATTTTTACTCCGGAATCAAATGCTCTATTCCGATGACATCGGAGTAAAGGAAAAAAATAGTCGGGGCCCACCCACATGCATCGAGCCTAGAATCAGAGGCAAAGACATCATCGGATTTTCTGCCCTACAGCCACCTAATAATTATGGAATTGCCCAATCATCTACGGAGTATGACGGTCGTGATCTGTCGCCCATGTCAGCCACCATTGAGGCTTTGCTTGAGGGACCTGCAAAGAAAGATCACAAGCATTCCGACTTTTACTCCGTACTTTGGAAATACGCACATCGCCAAGGACTTCCATGCCTTTTCACTCAGATTCTATGGCGACCATTAGGGTGGAAATCCTACGATGAATTGTCAATATGCGTAACCTTGTCTATCTTTTTGTTTTAGCCTCAGGCAGCTATGGAAATATGTGGGATCGCGACTTGCGAATGCAACATCTGACAGCATCACCCGATATCCAAAGACGGACTGAACGGATCCACCTGTGACCTGTCGATCGAGCTTAAGTCCTGAGTTTGGTTGACATGTACGGAGTACTCATTGCGGTCTACTCGGAAAAATAAGCGCATGAGTCAAAGTTGATAACACGGAGTACCCGTGACGGAGTAAAGAAGGCTGAGGCCGTTCATTCGCGACAGCCCGTGAAAGCCTCAATTGTCACCGACCTCGTTTAGTAAGACATCAAGGGTTGCTGAACAGTTTTCATCTGCTCAGTTAGCCCAGTCTAGGCCATTTGTTGCCTGTTCAGGGTCTGTTTAGCCTTGAGCTTGGGTATTCCGATGATTCTGGATCCACTCCGAGCTCCGAAGCATACTCCGAAAAATGACGCAGTTCATCACAAGAATAGAACATCATGTATTTCGCTCATATGAAAACGACTAGACGCCACTAGAACATTGAATGGCTTCAATATCCTTGTAAAATTTTTTTCTCGACGACTGGAAAAAGCCTTCCGTTCTCATGATTCGAAGGTCTGTATGCATCTATCCCTATTCCAAAGACAGTAGAGCCTTGTTTTGATATTATTATTCGTGTTCTGAGTCATTTAGTTGCTAATCATTTTGTCTTTTTCCTTCAGGAGTCATCGATCGTCGTCTGTCTGCCGGGCTAGCGGTCAGAATTTGCGCTAGAAAGCATGATGATTCATGCTGTGTGGTCAAAGTCTACAAGAATGTTCAAATAGATATTCTTGCTTCATCGAGCGGAGAAGTCCAATATCAATGGCATGTCCCATTTAGCAACATGCGGATACCCCACAACGGGGTCAAGCGATCTGCCAAGAACAAACCAGCAGCATGATTCCTCTAGGTGCACGATCATCGCCTCAACATTGAGTTCCAAGATCTTCGAGATTCATTACCGTTGCTCGCTCGCAATATCATAGCCTTAGATGGGACTACGGTCTTCAAGCATACCCTTGTGCTCGAATGAGGAAGTGCAATTCAATGTAATGCGATCTCCGACAAGGATTATGATTGGCAATCCTTGATAATCCATATTGAGCATTCTTCCATCACATCGGGGAAGTGAATATCGGCCTCTCAAGATTGAACGAGTGCCGACGAAATTGATTCAAGGCGAACAATCCAACCTACAGTGAGGATGGTCAATTTGTCAGCATGCAACATACTCACTCCGCTTGGGCTTGAGAGCTTAATAATTTACTCTACAAGGAGCTGATGTTCAACGGATGGCTTCGTACCTCAATCAAACAGTGAGCCGTCGCAGCCAAGGACTGCCTTCTCCTTGCGCAAATTCAAGGCGTCTCTGAAGCCTAATGTCCCTTGGAGCCATGTCATCGGCCCTAACCCTTTGAAGGTTGTTTTCATTTTGGAACAACTAGGTTTCCTATACGAGCAGAAATACCTCCCAATGGACGAGATGAAGAAGGAGCCATTTGTGAACATCAATCCGAATGGCCGGATCCCCGCGATCGAAGACCCCAATGCTGCAATCACCTTATGGGAATCGGGCGCCATCCTCGAATGCTTGGTCGAAGCGTACAATAAACAGAACGCCATCAGTTTTCCCGCCGGCACTCCAGAGTACTTGCATGCTAAGCAGTGGCTCCATTTCCAAATGTCCGGCCAGGGGCCATACTTTGGCCAAGCAGTGTGATTCGCCAATTACCACCCAGAAAAGGTGGACAGCGCGAAGGAGCGCTACCACAACGAAGTCTGCCGTGTACGTGGCAACCTTCGAATTCGCGAGTACTTGTTCGGGGATAAATGCAGCTATGCCGACGCCGCATTCGTTCCTTGGTTCCAGATTATTCTGGCAATTACTGGGGACGCCATCGATCTTGAGGACTTCCCAAAGCTCGACGCGTGGTTGAAGAGACTTCTTGCCCTGCCTGCTATCTCCAAGGCTTTCAAAATCMAAGACGCAGCTAGAAAAGTAAGGAATATGATTATGTTCAGGACCCGGGTGCATGGGTTTAAAGCCCATTTAAAGCATGACATTTGAAGTACTTGAAGTGATTTCGCAGTATTTGGATACGTAAGTTAAACTACGTCCAACAAGCAACCGAGTCTGAAGATTATCATAATCGCACCACCGTATCCGCGTTTTAAAGCCCAGTTTTGCAGCATTGCTGCTCTCTAATATGAAGTTATAACACTGTGGAAGTAGACATGGTAAAGTGGAGGTTGTAGCGTTTGTACGGAATTCGAGATATGCGCTAGTCCGGAAAAGGCGAATTCACGTGAGGCTCTTGGCGCGAGTTTTCTAGCCGTGTCGCGACTTGAGGTAACTACGCTGCGATCCTAGATGCAGTTATCCCATTCATCATCAATCCCACTGACATCCTTCGCTTGACGTCTCTTTCCATTCCTTTTTCTTTTACCCGGAAGATTTGTCGCTCTGTCCTTTGAAGCATTAATCCATATCAAGGGTTGCAGCTGCGCCCTGTCTTCCCCAGTGAAGTGACCTCTGAAGACCGGCAACGAGCCTTGTTCGACATCATTTGCGGCCCCCAATTTTGAGCGGCCATCCCAGTCAAATAGAAAATGGAGGAGCACTCTGCTACTACTGGCGGCGCTGCCGACAATGTTAACACGGCAGTTGCGCCTCAAGATACCCCGGCCGAACTGGCCAATGCATCCGGTAGGTTTCGCCTCCACTTCTCCCCTGAGAAAAAGGACATCACATTCGCCAACTGCTGCAACCGCCTAGGGTCGCAATCACGCAGCGAATCTCCTGTGAAGAAAAGCGAAGACGTTCCGGGCACTGATAATCCACTAGATGCTCCCGCCTCTCCCAAGCCCCAGAATGAAGGTGAGCCTGAAGATGAAGAGATGGGCGGCACTGAGACAGAGACGAAGAAGGAGACTGAGGGAGGCGACGGAGCCGGAGATGTGAGCGCTCAGCCATCTGCTGAGGGCGCATCTGAAGAGCAAACAGTGCAGGGAAAGTCAGCGCTTGAAACTTCGGCACGCTCACATCTCGTCTCCCAAACGCACGCCATCATCCTTCCCAGCTATTCGACATGGTTCGACATGCATACAATTCACCCGATCGAAAAGAAGGCGTTAGCCGAGTTCTTCAACGGTCGTAACCGGAGTAAGACGCCGGCGGTCTACAAAGACTATCGTGATTTTATGATCAATACATATCGATTGAACCCCATCGAGTATCTCACAGTCACTGCTTGCCGTCGCAACTTGGCAGGAGATGTCTGCGCTATCATGCGAGTTCATTCATTCCTCGAGCAATGGGGCTTGATCAACTATCAGGTAGGATTACACGTATTGTCTATAACTTTATCTCCGAAGCTAACGTGATCTCCTGTAAGGTTGACCCTCAAACACGGCCATCGAACATTGGACCTCCCTTCACTGGACATTTCCGCCTGATCGCCGATACACCCCGAGGGCTTCAGCCTTTCCAGCCTGGTCCCCAGCATGTTGTCAAACCCGGAAAGCCCCACCCTGCCACTGACCGGGCTGCCTCCGCTACTCCCGCCTCCAAAGCCGATCTCAATCTAGAAATTCGCCGCAATATTTACGATGATAAGGGCAAGGAAATTACACCAGCTGCTGAAGATAAGGAAAAGCAGACCAATGGAGAGGGCTCGGCCGCCAATGGTACAGCTGCGGACGCATCCAAGGCTATGGAAAKCGCGGTCCGAGAGCCTAGAAAGAAGTTCCATTGCTTCTCTTGTGGCATAGACTGCACTCGACTCAGATTTCACTATGCCAAGTCAGCGCCAACAACCACGAACGCGAATGCGCCAGACTCCAAGTACGATCTGTGCCCGAACTGCTTCTTGCAAGGCAGAATGCCTGCTAGTCATAACGCCTCGGACTTCGTCAAGCTCGAAGATAACGAATACACAATTGCTCCGGATAAGGATGCTCCTTGGTCCGATTCGGAGCTGATACTGCTTCTCGAAGGCCTGGAAAGTTTCGACGACAACTGGGAGCAGATTGCCAATCATGTCGGTACAAGAACCAAGGAAGAATGTGTGGTGAAGTTCTTGCAACTGGAGATTGAGGATAAATATATCGAAGACATGCCGGAGGTGCGTGCGGCGAGTGGCCGAGACCCCATCAACCATGTCGAGAACCCTGTCTTGTCTGTGGTCGCTTTCCTGGCGCAAATGGCCGAACCAGCTGTGGCCGCTGCAGCAGCTGGACGTTCAGTGGAAGAGATTCGCAAAGAACTAAGGAAGCAGCTGGACAAGGACACGGGCTCCGGCAAACCGTCGGATAAGGGCAAAGAGAAGGAGGGCGCAGGCGTCAAGAGCGAAGATTCGATGGACGTAGATACCTCTCGCGAAGACGCGACTGCTGAAATTGCAGAGTCAGGAGAAGCCGAGAAGCAGCCCAAGGCGTCTCTCGCAACCGTTGCGCTCGGAACCTCCGCAGCACGTGCTGCGGCCCTCGCCTCGCATGAGGAACGGGAGATGACTCGCCTCGTCTCTGCTGCTGTCAACGTGACGCTTCAGAAATTCGAAATTAAGCTGCAACAATTCAACGAGATGGAAGAGATCATCGAAGCTGAACGCCGGGAGTTGGAACTCGCTCGCCAGCAGCTCTTCCTGGACCGCATGGCCTTCAAGCGGAGAGTCAAGGAAGTTCAAGACTCTCTCCAAGCTATCAGCCTGAAGGGACCCACTGAGGAGACGGCTAATCTCATTGGAGATGCTGCCACAGCAGGCATAGGCAATCGCTACAACTTTCAACCGGCAGGTGGCGATGCGAGGGACGGTGTACAGCCCTTGAGTGCAGAGACGGGCGCCGACTACAAAACTCTTGACCTGTGATCGTATGACACAAAACCCAGAAAAAAATTCACTCGCATGAAATTGGACGTGTCGAAACAGCGAGTAAACGCAATACCACATATTCTTCTGATGATATGGGATATTGAGTGGGTTACTCATTTATAATTTGCAAGTATTGTACAATATCATCAAGCCGGATTAAGAGGAAAGCAGGACATACTAGGGATGTTCAAACGATTCCTCCATCTCTGGATGCGGATTCGGTAGAGGATGTTTCAGTTGGTGGATGGGTTTTTGAAACGATTTGCCATGTTTACAGTTTGTTTTCATCCAGCTAGGAAAAGGCGCACGATGTTTTGGAGTTTGAGAGTTATACTGTCCGCGTCAATTAATCCGATATAGTAAACAGTCTCTTGTTTCTTTCTCCTACGCTAGGATAAAATCTTGGCGGTTGACACCTGCCACCTCTTATGCGGTCATTGGTCGAATAGTTCTTCCTGGTATTTCGTTTGAATTTTCTATATAGTGACAGCATAGTTGCTGTATATCTCTGGGGTATCAGATCAATGGATAAGCCAATATCGTAACTCCATAGTGACGTGTCGATGCCAACCTATATATTCTGCTCGTCAAACAACCGGGCTCATGGGCTGCGAATGAAGAGGCAGATTATTCTTCTCATCCTCATCTTCCGATGACGAGTATGAGTCCCCTCGCTTCTGGTGTCGACCGTACGGGAGATCGTCATCCGAGCCGGAAGACAGATCGTCTTCACTTTTATTCTTGAGCTCGGTCTTGGGCCGTTCGTTCTTATATCGTTCATCTTTGTCTATCGTATCAACATCGAAACTCGAGCCCGACTCCGAATCTAAATCTGGCTCTGATGCAGACTGCTTGTGCGCCATGTCAGGCTGGCTGCTTTCTCTGCTGGCTTCGAGCTTGACTCCTCGCTGGGGACGGGTTGACGAGTCCTCGTCACTATCGGAGTCATCGGAGTCGAGGTATGAATCCGAATCAGTGCCTCTCAGTTGAGGTTCAGATTTGATCGCTGGCTGCGAGGGAGCCCGAAGATGTGGGCTTGGTTTCCCTTCCTCGTCTGATTCGACTCGAGAGTCGGTCTCATACTCCGACTCGGAATCTTCGCTCTGGCTGACTTTGTTCTCCTCTTTGACAATGGGCTCTGTGTCCTGGCTAACATGTATTCTTTCGTTTCTAGTTTCGGGTTGAGAGTGTATGGAATGTTTCTGATCGAGGTCGCTATCCCGGTCGGATTCGAGATTAGACACAGGCGCGGGCTCAGGGTTTGAGTTACCGTCATGATCAAAGTGTAAGTTCTCATGTTTGATACTCGGACCTTCAATTTCAATCACACGCACACCCCCTTGGTTTCGTGTGGGGCCATGTTGCTTTTGATCTGAGCTGCTCTCTGCGCCAGAGATGGCATCGGAGTCAGAGTCGTACGCAGCTTCAATATCGGACTGTTCGCCTGTATCAACAGCAACAGCCTCCCGCTTGATGGCCGAAACTGAGTCTTGTTGGTCGGACGCAACGGCCTCGACTTCAGGTTTCCGAGATGAAAGGGGATGATTTTGTTCCCCGTCGCTCAACTCAGGAGCTGGTTCTTCTTTTGAACCGTACTCAACTCCCTCCTGGCTGAAATCCTGACTTGGACCTTGATCGAGGCGATCTGTCTCGATATCCATCTTCGAGTCTCCGCTGTCTGCAGAACCCGACTCGTAAACAGAGCCTTCAATTTCCATTGCATCATTGATCTCTTCGGTTTGTATTGCGCCGTCGCTGTCTCGGTCACTATCGGCCCTCAGCTCGTTCTTAACGCCGTGGTGACTCAGACCCTGCGAATCATCGTTGCCACCCATTTCATGATCTCTGTCGCTGGCTACTGAGACGGGTGATTCTCGCCTGACAATGCGTCTTTCAATACGTCTCCGTTTCCGTCTATTCTCTGACAAGTCTTCGTAGAGGTCATGTACCTCGTGTCCGTATTCCTCCCAATCGCTTCGATACAACGTCCGGTCGCGCCAATTGACTAAGTCTTCTTTCGTCTTGCGCTCGCCAATCGGCTTGCGCAACTTGGAGCCTTGCTCAGTGTTGGAGGCCAACGACGAAATTCCAGTTGGGGCTGGCTGCCCCATCAAGTTCCAAAGCCGCATTTCTTCTGAGGCATTGTTCAGCTGGTCGATCTCTTCTGCGTGTTCCTCTTCGAGATTAACTGACGGCTCATCGTGAGGTGTCGTCTCAGGCGATGACAATATGGATGAAGCATCGGAATATACGTCAGATTCGTCATCATCACCATCTTCAATTGTGCCGTGCGGAGCGCGACTCTCAGATCTCCGCCTAGAAGCGCTTCTTGCATCAAGAGATTCGTCGACCGGAACCTTTCCAGAAAGAATATCTTCCACTTCGTCGTAAGCCATAAGCTCCGACTGCCATCCTTTCTTGTGGCGGAGGTCTGCAACTTGCAGGCTGCACCTCCGGGCTAACCCAACCCAAAAGTCGAAGCGATCCTGAGGCATGTTAAGCACATTCAGTGCAGTCTTCACATCACGCGATCTCACTATTCGTGCTTTGCGGTTTCCGGTTTCCCTCATATTCCGTAGTCGTGACATGGCGAAGAACAGGGTGGAATGTACCAGACGGCGAGTCACGCTTATGGCCAGAGCGTAGAAATCCGCAAGAGCGTCGGCCGTTATGGAAGGAGTCTCATCCGCACAGGCGACGTTGAGCCAATTATCCTCTAGCCTTGGACCACCGGCGTTCATGAAGAACCTTTCAGATAGTCTGATCCACTTATTGATGTTGAAAAGCTGGGCAGTGACATAGACGCTTGAACCAGGAAGAGGAGTCTCATCTCGTTCCTCCAACTGTTCCTCTACCATTTCTGCGATTTCTCGATCGACAATCCACACGTTCTGATGTAGCTTCCTTCCAACAACATCTTCAGCCCGCTGTTCCTCAAGAGATAGTAGTTCGGCATAATTATCGAGTGCCTTGGAACATTCTTGACTGATCTCCAGTGCTGCCGGAACTTCGCCGAGAACGATGGTCCTGCTGTGGGAATCTCGGATGTGTTGCCGTTCCAGTCCTCTGTGTAGGAGCTTCAAATGCTCCTGTACTTCCAACTCCGATTTTGAGCCAATCGCTTGCGCAATTTCTGCGAGGCCGTTTTCCCCTTTTCTGTCGAGCATGCTGAACAGAATCTCCTTCTCTTGTGAAGTCCAGATCGCCACGCCATTCTGAGTGGGATTGTAATTTTCGCTGCCGACGATGGAAGGCACAGTATTGTTCGCTGCTTCTGCAAATTCAGAGGAGTATGCATCCACACATTCTATTCCGAGTGATGTTCGTAGAGCATCTAGTGTCTGAGCCCGAGTGCCTCTTGTCGCCCTGGGTATTACCTCCGGAGCGTCTTGGTCTTCGGAATCTATCGAATCGAGGCGTTCATAGTCGTCGACTGGAGGGGACGAGGCTGAGAATTTTGCGCCTGAGTAGCTGGATTCGATATCGGAATCAGACGGTTCTTCGTCTTCATCTGGCTCGTAAACGCTTGAACTGCTCATTGTCGGGTCTTGAGAGATTCAAGCACACAAGCCAAAGACATTGAGTTCGGGCGGATGATGGGCGCATCCCATCGGTCTAAGGTGCCTGAAGAAGCTATAACTGCATAGTTAAATGATTAAATATAATATATAGCAACAAGATCCAGAAATCCAAAAAATCTTAGGTCGAGGTACTTATCGGCTGGTAAGATTTCTGATAAGAGAAGCTCATGTTTGCACTGTTTGTCTCGTAGATAGCATAATACAGATACTGTATGAGGCGAGGAACGACAGGGCCGTCTTTCATATTATTGACATGCTTTTGCTTCATGGCAACTAGATGAACGTTTTCCGACGGAGATTGGGGCATATTCCCATTCTGAATATCACCACTCGAGCTAACCGATCTCACTGGCGACTTCTGGCATTTCACCGACATGGCCGTTTCCTCTCTATCAGCCCAGGGCCGACCACAGAGCCTTCTACAGAGCCTCCACGCTCGTTTGAACTTCCTAAGTTAGTTCTTCGAGACTATCAGGAGGAATGCATTCAGTCTGTACTAAAGTACTTGAACGAGGGCCACAAACGCCTGGGTATCTCGCTTGCGACTGGTGCTGGCAAAACGGTTCGTATAACTGTTTCGCATCTTGCAGACACTGGCTGATCTTTCTCTCAACGCTGGCAGGTCATCTTCACCGAGCTAATTGGTCGCATCCCATCACGCAATGAGATAGGCGACAAGACTTTGATTATTGTGCATCGAAAAGAGCTTGTGGAACAAGCAGCCCAACATTGCCGCCGCGCATACCCTGACCGAACCGTCGAGATTGAAATGGGCAATAGTCATGCCTCGGGAGCTGGGGACATCATTGTCGCATCTGTGCAGACTCTGACGCGAGGAAATAGACTAGCAAAGTTCGATCCGAAACGGTTTAAACTGGTGCTGGTGGATGAGGCCCACCACATCGTCGCGTCCTCCTACCGAGAAGCTCTCAAGCATTTCGGAGTGGACGAAGCCTCTACGGATTCTCCAGTTCTTGTTGGCGTCTCGGCTACATTTTCTCGGAGCGACGGACTGAAACTGGGTGCTGCAATCGATCACATTGTATACCATAAAGATTACATTGATATGATTGATGACAACTGGCTTGCCAATGCGGTCTTTACTACGGTCCGCTCCGAGGCAAACCTGTCCAAGGTGAAAAAGGATAGCTTTGGTGATTTTGCAATCGGCTCTCTTTCCAAGGCAGTCAACACAGAAAATGTTAATAATATCACCGTGCGTGCATGGCTTGCTAACGCGCAAGACCGCAAATCCACGCTGGTGTTCTGCGTGGATGTCGCACACGCAAAAGCGCTTACGGAGACCTTCCGCAACTACGGCATCGATGCACGGTATATCACTGCAAAGACCTCAAAAGACGTACGGATGGAGCAGCTGCGTGCATTCAGAAACCAAGAGTATCCCGTGCTGCTGAACTGCGGTCTCTTCACAGAAGGGACTGACATCCCGAACATCGACTGCGTCCTACTTGCCAGACCGACTCGATCGCGGAACCTCCTCATCCAGATGATCGGCCGAGGACTCAGATTGTACCCCGGCAAGGAAGACTGCCATGTAATCGACATGGTGGCAACCCTCAACACCGGCGTCCTCTCCACACCAACCCTATTCGGCCTACATCCGGACGAAGTCCTGCAAAATGCCAAAGCCAAAGACCTGCGAGACATGCCGCTCGAAGACACCGCATCCGGGACGGGGACCCCAGCCGATGAAACGGAGGATCCGCCCCCCTCCCCGGACGACTCAGACGTCAACCTAACGTTCACAAAATACGACACAATCTACGACCTGATCGCCGACCTCAAATCCGAAAAACACATCCGTTCTCTGAGCCCACACGCCTGGGTCCGCGTCGGTGACGACCGCTACGTCCTCTCCGACGCCTCAGGCTGGCTCACAATCGACAAGGAAGAAGACACAGGTCGAGCGTACAAACCTAATCCCAAACCCGGCCATACAACCGCCAACCCTTACATCTTCACCGTCCGCCACGTCGCCAAATTCAAGAACTCCGATGATACCGTCACACATACCCGTCCGCGACTCATCGCCACAGCCTCCGACTTCGAGACCGCCCTCCATGCCGCAGACACATTCGCAGCCAGCGAGTTCGAGGAGAGATACATCTCGGTATGGCAGACGTGGAGGCAGCTCCCCGCGTCGGATGCGCAGGTTCGCTTCCTGAATAAATCGAAGGTCCGGCACGGGTTGATCGACAGGAAACATCTTACCAAGGGCCAGGCGGCGGATCTGATCACGAAGTTGAAGTTTGGTGGGAAGAAGCGGTTCGAGGCTCGCAAGGCCGAGCGGCTTGCTGAGTTGCGGAGGCAAGAGGAGGTTGAGGAGCTGAGAAGACAGGGTGATGTGCGGGTTGGGCCGGTTGAGACCTAGCTTTTCTACGCTGGGAATACTGTATATTATAATGATACCTCAAGTGAAATGTTGAATGATTATGTATGATTCCTGTTCCTTGGATCGCCTTCACTGATAGTCTATCGATCATGGTCGTGACTTGTGTACATGCGCTTCCTCAGACAAACCGCTCTATATCCAGATTCCAACAAAACAACCATTGAAAATAGCCATACATACAGCACCTTGTATATCAGTGACCAGTGACCAGTCAACGGCAACAGACACAAAGGCAGAGAGGGATAGGGGTGTCGAGGTCAAGCCGTCTGAGAAAAATCCCAAACTCGAGGTAGACTCGATGAGAGGATCAAAATACTGTCTCTGTACAGTCAATTCCCATCACGCAATGGGACACAGCAACAAAAGGAGAACTTCGCTCCAGAAACGACAAACGACACGCATGAAATCAACTCCGGTATGCGTAATGATCCCTCAGCCAAATGAAGATGACAAAGGTGAAACAGGAGAAGGAAAGATTAGATAAGGGGACATAAATTATGACGTTCAATATCGGGCCATGGCTCCGTCATGGCTTCTTTTTCTGATGGCTTCCGCCTGGCTCGGACATGCCGTGTGTGGCATCGTCGCCTTCGAGAATGCACCAAAGTCGTCGGAGAGAGAAGCCGCTGCTGAAGAAGTAGAGGATGACAAACCAGGCAGCGAGGATATTAGCAAGGTGATGGAGAAGGTAGCCGTATGACACGCCGTAGACTGCCGAGTAGACGGCAATGGCAAAGAGTATCATAGATGTGACATGTTTTAACCTACGTTGATTAGTCGACTGACACAGAGCAAGAAAATGACGGCGCATACCTTGTGGTGACTCGGGGGATCATGGCCCCGCTTGTCATGGTCTCCACAAGGAGGATGAAAGGCATGATGGATAAGACATTATGATGTGACGAGAACGGCATGAACCAGTGGACAACAAGATTGTGAGCCCAGACCAAGAGGACGAGAATGTTGATCGGTAAGATCCAGAGCATGAGAATGAAGATTGAGTGGGCATAATTAGAGAAGTTGTAATGGGCATTGGACCTCTGTGCATATTGTAAGTTACCTTATCAATGAAGACATGGATGGTGCGTACCGTTTCCTTGGCATGCCATTGTGCCCGCACACACGTTGCGAGCTGAACAATGCACGCCACCATGTAGGCGAACTGATAGGGAATCAAGGTTGACACGAGAATCAACAGAATGGCGGTGTTGATCATCCGGCGTCTTGCAGTTGGAGCGCTGAAGATCGGGGTTCTAATCATGTCAGTTAGATTCGTAAGAAGCATGGGTGCCATGACCTACCCCTTCTCGTTGCGTTTAATGTAGCCTGATTTGCTTTTCAGGTACCCATAGATGAAAGAAAGCACAGACAAAAGGATGAGTGCGACGTAGTTGATAATAACGCAGACACCGATACTGATCAAGCCAAAGACAGGCACCAAAAACCAGAAGAATGCATCCTGCGATCCCAAGAGCAGATCGTTTTTCGTAAAGTCAATCGGAGTCTCGGTGGCATTAACTCGCCACTGGAACGGTTCGTCGCTGGGTGGCAGTCGCGTCGATGTGGCCAAAGAAGATGCCAGCAGGGACATGGCAAGCAGTAGAATCGGGAACGATGACCGCAGAGCACTGTCCAGACCTTCGGCGAATGTGATGAAATAGCCAGTCTCGTCATACATCTGAAACTGTTTGCGGAGGACAAGAGCGACAACAAGCACAGGAAACGCAGCAAAGACGGTCCGATAGCGCATCACAAGCTCTCCCAAACTGCCGGCAATGTCCACTTTGAGCGAAACGTCGACAGTGGAACCGCAGCTTGGATCCGTCCACAACTGGAAGGAGACACCGCCCAGAGTTGCTTGTTCGCGGAGAGGTGGAGGCATGAAAGGTGCTACTCCGTGGAGGTTCACATGGACCTTGTCCACGTTGACGAAGAATTTCGACTCGTGCGGGTCGGATATCGACTGTCGCAGTAGAGGAGCGAAGAGCTCCTGTCGCTTGTCATGATTGTGTCTCACAATGTGGAGCTTGTAATCCAGCAAACTGGAATGCAGAGCCGGAATTTTAATTTCGGTGAGCATTGGACGATTTGCGGGCAGTCTCATCTTCAGTCCGGCACTTAGCAGACCACCAAGGCCGCCGCGGACCCTGATCACAGCATCAGAACTGTCGGAAAATTCTGCCAGAACCCATCCTTTGGTGGGACTATCGGCTTTGTCCACCACAGCAACAAATTGGTGCTCTGACAGATCCTCCAAATCATACTGCAGATATGAGAAAGGCTGGACCCGGTCAAAGGGATACTTGGAAGCTGGTGTCGATGCCGGCAGGTGAATACCATCCTCAGCCGCATTCTTGCAAGCGAGACGCGTCGAACCCGTGTTGCCCCCCGAAAAGTCCATATTCATAGAGAAAACAGTTGCGAATTTGCCATTCTGAAGAGGGAAAACGCTGCAGAAGAGAACTTCCAGATTGCCATGCTCTCCAGTCTTATCGAATTTTTGGTCGGACAGGAGAGTGAATTTTTTGCCTGATACTCCTTGCGGAGGTATGGGCAAGAGATAAACCTTTGGGCCCGAGCGATGGCCCAATTCGCGCAGGATGAGTCTTTGGCCTTGCGGGAGGATCGAATTGCTTTGGTCTTCTAGAGTCAGAAGTGTGTTTGGTTCTAGAAATGTTAGTCAAGGATAGGCCAACAGAAAAGTTTAACCAGGGGACCAACCCTTCTGAGGTAGAGTTCTCTCGGCGACCGACTCTAAGCCTGTGAGGTACCATTTCTTGAAGATCCGCATTCTCTCAGCTCTTGGTTTAGTCTGGCTTGCACGCCGAACATCTATAATATCAAAAAGTGACTTGATAATCGCCTTGCGGAACTGGTCGCACCACGTAATAGATAGATGGTCGACACCGATCCAAACATCCGGAATGCTAGAGGTAAAGACCGTGAAGCCGTGAGTCTCGGGGACCAGCGACGAGATACTAGCGTAGTCGGACGGCACAACGGTGTCGCGCGAGCCACCAGCGATGGAGATAAGAGTGACATGCCATAGAGGGTTGTTGTTGGCCCACGTCTGCGAGTATGCTTCCCGCCAGTAGTCGTTGATTTGCTTGTAGGTTTGAACGATGTCCGAATCGAAGGAGACGGGAGGTTTGGCGTGGGGCGCGGACATGGTGACGATGGTATTGACCGAGTTGGCCTGGTAGTTGGACATGGTCAACGCGGTACGGGCGACGATGCCACCCATCGAGTGTCCGATGAGAATCACCGAGCTGGGATCGGGGAGTTCGGGGTCCCTTCGCGATCGCTTGGGGTCATGGTAGAGGGAGAGAATGTATGCGACAGCCTCGTTCACGTATTCCGCCTGGTCAAGGAGTGTTTGGCCGTGKAACGCAGCCATATCCTCGTTGAAGTCGATCATGAAGAAATCCAAGCTCCGGGTACCGGCTTTGATGCGCTCCTGGTCGTGGCGGACGACATCGTGAAAGTGCCTCGATGCTTCAGCGGCCAGTGATCGGACTTGTCTATAGCTCCCGGCATTTCCGGGTAAGAACAGGACGGGAGCCCCGTTCAACTTTAGGCTCGTTAGCAGTGCAGCTGAGGGATCAGAGTCGGAAAACATACTCCTAGGTTTTCTTGGTTGTAAAAATCGACACCCTCCTCCCGGTAAAGATACAGATTGTATTTGCTCGCGAAGCGCGTATGCTCGGTATCGAAGCCCACCATGTGGAGAAACGTCGGGCTCATCACAGGTATCCCACAACCATCTTCGCCGGCCTGACGGGCAGAGAACGAGCGGACGATAAAGAAGAGGAAGACGGATGCGACAAGCGTCGTCAGAGCCGTCAATATCGAGCAAGACCACGGGCTGCGAAGCCGGGAGGATCGAAACCGAGAACTCTCAGGAGAAGCCTCCATGGGAAGTCGCTGGGAGGCCAATGGCATCAGGAAAGATGTCGACGAGGATTTTGGATCCGTAGACGCGGCGGCCATGGTCGTTGTCGACGAGGAGGAAGGCGTCCTCCACAGACCCGAGTTCCGGGAGCGAGGGGTTGAGGCGCCGTTGTCTCGTCGGAGATCGAAACTTGTACCACTTTTCGCTATCTGCGAGCGCGACTTTTCGGCCGTCTCGAAGGCATTATTATTAGGGGCATGTGCTGTTGATTCTGTAGGGGATCGCGAAACCAGAGGCGAGTCTTCAGCGTCGTCCTCGACAGGAGAGCCGGACGAGCGTCTGTGCATTGGAGGAGGTGGAGATATTCGTACTCATCCAGCACGCGGGAACCGATCGAAGTTTTCTGGGGCAGATAGGCGGATCTCAGTCTAAGACCTTGGGTTGGGTGGGTTTATCGCGACAGCGGTAAGGGATGAGCCCCCAGGAATGCGAAAGGAGCAATTGGGACGAGCTGATTGGAAGGGGGAAGCAGCTGCAAAATTGAACGAGTGTAAGGGTGATGATGAGTTGGTGGCTGGTCTCGCAGCCTCGGAATTATTTCGCTGCTGTTCTTGGATTAATCTTAACTTCCCCCTTTGATACAGGACGAAAAGAGCGAGACCCTTGACCGGGAGGCGGGGAGCAGCCGGACTGGAGATAAGGAGGAAATGAGAGGGAGAGAGGCAGACGACGGAGACAGGGTCTGCGAGAGATGTTGGGGTAATACAGAACGAAGCTGCAGAAGAGTAAGTAGTTACCTCCTGACTACCTTAGCAGCCTTGAGGTAGATGAGTGGTGCTCCGTCGACGCCGAGTGAGATCCAATCATCCACTCAAACGAGGCCTTGTTTCCTGGTTCGTTACTTTTTTTTTTTCCTGCGGGCGCTGGAGACGGAACGGGCTTGGCGGATGCTCTCGGCACACTTCTTATCTCCAGGATGGCAGGAAGACAGACAGTGAATAAAGCCTGAATTGTGCCAGGTATACGCAGGGATCAAAACAGCGAGCTATTAATAAATAATTCAGCAGCGTCTTTTGACTACCTAGTA